AACAATGAAGTAACGGAATAGCATGTGATGATATGGAAAGAAATTCCAAAGTAAAAAAATATAATCTAAATTGATAGCTTTATAGCTGATTTTTTTCTTTTGAGGAAGATCAGCCCTGAGCTCACATCTGTGCCAGTCCTCCTCTATTTTGTATGTGGGAGGCAGCCACAGCACGGCTTGAGGAGCAGTGTGTAGGTCCGTGCCTGGATCTGAACCCGCAAAGCCCAGGCCACCAAAGCACAGCACCAACTCACCCAACCACAACACCACTGGGCCGCCCCTGATAGCTGATTTTTTAAGGAAGAAAAGAAGGGATATAAGATGAATACAATGTACTGTATTGTTTAATTCTAGTTTTGTAAATTATACTTATATACTATAAAGATTATATGTAGTCTTTTTTCTTGTTCATCTGCATTTTCAAGTTTTTAATAACAAGCGCTGTGACAGTCACACTATCCATTTCCTATTTATTTTCTTGCTAACAGAATTCTATTTTATTTAAAGTGGCATTAAACCAGACCAAGGAATTATTTCCTCATCTAAGCCAGTCATAGCAATCTTGCTTTCCATTTTCTCAACATCTCTTGCATATGACCCATTTTCAATAGAAAGATTCAAGGAGAAGTTGGCTGTGAGATATACCACGGGGAAAGTTTTGCTCTTTTGACGAAAGGGCCGGATGTGACTGGCTCCATTCCTTTCCAGTCTTCCTGTCTGGACTGTGGATGTTACGGCTGGAGCTGTCAGCAGCCTTCTAGCAAACGCAAGGGAAAGCCCACAGGCACCCTGATGGCCCTGACAATTTCGAGCCTCTGAACCATCAGCAGCAACTGCCCACCTTCAGACATTTTGTTACGTGAGAAAACATGTCCTTCTTTGCTTAAGATGGGGTTGTCTGTTACTTGCAGCAAAATGCATCTCTAAGTGATTTAAATGTACAATAAAAACATTTGAAAGAAACTATTTTTTAAAATTAAAAGGTGAATAAAAGGGCTGGATGAATAAGTCCATATATTATCTGTATTTTCTAGAATATACCTGTAACACATTTGTAATAACAATCCAGTAAAAGTTATTTAAAAAATTATAATAGTCTGGAACACATCCAATCCCACAATGCTGGTCTCAGGAGACCTGGCAGCCCTGATGTTGATTTGCTGTGTGATCTTGGGAAACCACTTCATCGTTCCAGAACTTAGCCTCCCAATCTGTGTAGATATAATCAATTAAATAACTCTTAAGGCTCCCTGCTAACAGCTCTAGCTAAGAAGCCCAGGGCTCACCTCTGAGTCTGTCTTTCTCTTTCCTGTGGACAATGACTGACTGAAAATAGACCATGCAGGGAAACTGCTCAAGAATGGGAAATAAACATGACGCTTTCCCTGGCTCAAAACAGAGGGTCTGCTCATGAATACAGGGAACAGACTGGTGGGAACCAGAGGCATGGGGTTGGGGGGAGGTGGGTAGTGGGCGAAATGGGAGAAGAGGGTTAAAAAGTACAAATGCCCAGCTATAGAATAAATAAGTCATGGAGGTGTAATGTACAGGTGGGGACTATAGTTAACAATATGTAGCACATATTTGAAAGTTGCTAAGAGAGTAGATCTTAAAAGTTTTCATCACAAGAAAAAAATTTTTGTAACTATGTATGGCAGCAGATGTTAACTAGATTTATTGTGGTCATCATTTTGCAATATATACAAATCGAATCATTATGTTGTACGTCTGAAACCAATAAAATGTTTTATGTCAATTATATCTAAATAACACAAACAAACAAACAAAAACCCTCAGAGTGCATAGGGAACGATGGCAGCAAGGATTACTATAATTTTCTTTGTGGTGTCAGAATACCATCTGAGTGATTCTCTTCTGGTAAGAGTGGCGTGAACCCTCTCCCAATCTCCTAACCAAAGCCCAAATTCTATAACGTGTCCTTTCTAACACCTTCTCACTGAGATGCCCCCTACTTCCCACAGTGTGCCTTCTCCCTTGCTACAATAAATCCAACTTGCTCAATTATAGGTGTGTTCCTGGAGGTCTGTGGCTGGAGGGCTTTGACTATAGTAGGGATTCAAAAGCGTTTATTGCTACTATGAATGATTATTGTTATTGTTGTTTTTAATTGTGTCTCTAGCATATAAAGTACATCTCTGGGTAAGTGGCTGAGATACCACCAGAAGATACCACCAAAAGGCCTTTTGCCTCTTATTCTCTTGTATGAAATGAGTGGCATGGAACAGCAGAACACTGATTCACACACACACACACACACACACACACACACACACAGACACAAATGCTAACAAATCTTGATCTTTAGAAGGTCCCGCCATGAAGGCAAAGAACTTGTCTTTTTTGTTCACAGCTGAATCTCTAGAATGCAAAGGAAAGCAGATGAGGTCACATAGCCCAGACTCAATAAATTTTTTCTGAATAAACGAATTCAAGCATCCCAGGAGAATTTAACAGTTTAATTTGAATATTAGTAGATTAGGTAGACATATATAGTGCTTATTGTCTACCAGATACTGCACTAAACACTTTACATTTATTAACTCTTGTCCCAGCCCTATGAAGCTCTTACTATTACTAACTCAATTTCATGGAGGTGGAAACTGAGGCACAGAGCAGTTTAGTGACTCGCCAGAGATCCCATGGCTGGGAAGTGGTTGAGCTGGGATTTAAATCCAGGCGGTCTCACTTCAGAGTCTGTTCTTAACCAGTAAGCTCTGCTGCTTTGCAGTACAAAGTGAAGATATAGAAGGTAATATTAGGCAGTTAACTTCACAGGTGTATGTGTATTGTTCATATCCAAAAACACAGAATGCCCATTTTTTTCTTTATTGAGTATGAGGAAGAACATTCTTTGAATATTTTAATCAGTCATGGCCACAAAGTGAAAATTGTGTAGATCACATAATTCAACAAGAGCAGAATAACATTAGATATAAACGCCAAAAATAATAAGGGGAAAACAACAAAATCAGGAATGAAAAGGGGACATACGGACAGATTCAGAGACGAAAAATTATAAGAAAGTACTATTTGTGGCTTTATGTAAATAAATTTGAAAATTAAATGAGATCGACTATTTCTAGGCAAATATAAATTACCAAAAATTGACTCAAAAAGAGTCAGATAATGTATACTCCATTAGTCATCAATGAATTTGAAAAAATAATCAAAGATCTATCCTTCTAAAATTCGTCAAACTCAGATGGTCTTGTGGATGTATTCTATTGCATTGTCAATGAACAAATAATTATCTTGATAATTTAAAAACACCAGTGTGTATTTTTACAGCAGAATGCTTTGAAAATCATCCTAGGAAGTTAGCCTAACCTTGTATCAAATCTGAATGAGAATCCCACCATCATCTAAGAAAGAAAAAGGAAATAATTTTACTTATTAATACAGGTGCAAAAAAAAAAATCCTAAAATGAATAAATAATTCCAATCCAGCAGTGTTTTTGCAAAAGAACATACATTGACCAAATAGAGTTGGGGGAATATAAAGTGGTATACAGTTAAAGGAGGCATTTCTAATCAGTGAGAGGAGGATAAACTATTGAGAATTGGTGTTGGGACAGTTGGCTTCTCATCTTCATCAGAGCCTTACCTTACCCTATGTACAAGCATAATTTCCAGAATTGATAATTCTAAATGATGATATCATCATCATCATCATCATCACCATCAACAACAACAAAACTATAAATTACCAGAACATTTAGGGAACTATTCTTGTGATCCTGGGGTAGGAAGTCTCCCTAAGCAAGACAGGAAATCCAGAAGCCATGAAAGATAAGACTTGACTACACAAAACCTTGAAATTGCTTTACAGGGAAAGACTCCAAAACACTATTCAGTGCTTAAAAATACATTTCCATAAGTGATACTATGGAAACACTAAGAAATAAAAGCAAATTACAGAATAATATTTATGCTTTTAAGAGATCAGTAATATTGACAACCCTCCTACATGTTTGGTAAAAAAAGAAAATTGAAGATTGGGAAAGAGAAAACACAAATAAACAATATTAGGAATGAAAAGAGTATAAGAACAATTTCAGAGGAGATGAAAAATTGTAAGGTAATACTAGTTGTAACCTTGTTCTGGTGAGTTTGAAATTGTAAATGAGATGGACAATTTTCTGGGAAAATGTAAATGAGTAAAATCGATTCAAGAAGAAGTAGGACTTCTTTTAATAGGAAAAATGGAACCCATATGTGAATATATATCTAGATAATTAGTAGCTATATCAATAGATTCAATCAGCTGTATCAGTAGGTTCGTTGTTTGCAAATACAGGTTACCTCTGGGAACCGACTAGTGTGGAAGGAGGCCCAGAGGCTAGGGTGGAGGGGTGCACTCACTTTCTAAATAGAATGCCCTGTGTTTTGAGTCATATACCACAACCATGAATTACTTTTGTTATAAAGGAAACAAAAATTGTTGGTAAGTGGCTCCACGGGAAGTCCTGGGAATAAGCAGGAGTTGGATTAAAGGATGGAGTTAGAATGGAACCCTATGGTTTATCTGTGGAAACCAGCAATGATAAGAGATTCCTCCCAAGTCTTACTAGCTCCCCTTCTCTCTCTCTGCTTCCCACACTGTGAACAGGCATCCTGAGATCCGAGGGCGTTTTATGAAGGAAACCAGAGGAAGCTAGAGCAGCGGAAAGAACAAAGGCAACACGAGTTCAAATCCCTACCCCGGACTGGGATCTGCAGTGTCATACTTTGGGAACGTCCCCTCACTTCTCCTGATCCAAGAGTCGCCGCGCCCGAAATGCGCTCACTCTCTAGGGCTCAAAGAGGCTCAAGCTTTGTTAAACGGGTCCGGAGCCCCAAAGAGCTGGGGATGAAGGGGCGGGGCAGCGGGCGCCTGATCCCTCAGCTGCAGGTACACTTCTCCACCCCCGTTGCCCCCTCCTTCCTCCTTCCTCCTTCCTCTCCAGCACACACACCCACACAACCCTCTCCCGTCGCGGCTAGCGAGATGCTCTCAGGCACCAGCGGGCAGCAGTGCCTCGTCAGCCAGTAGAGCTGAAGACGGAGCTGGAGGGCTGGGGCTGCGCAGGAGACCTGCAAACCAGAACTGCAGACAGTTCTTATCTTTCATGCTTCCTTCTTTCTATTTAAAAAAAACTCCCCTGTTCCCACTGCAACTTGGAAGAGCGAGACGTGATTCGAAGAAACTGACGCAGAGGTTTTATTTATGTACCTTGAAGAAGTTCTGGGCAAGTCACTCAACAGAACCCGCGAGGCCTAGGGTAACCCCAGGTCCCGGCGCCAGTTCAGCCTGGCAGTGCCTTTTGATAGTCAACCCGCATCCCGGGCAGGGGTGCCAGGCGCCCCCTGACTTTGCTTTTGGAGTAATGATACTACCTGTGGCCTGGACCCAGGTGGCCTCGCTTGGTGAGCGTCCCCACCAGGTAAGCACACTCCCAGGGGTCTCCACTGGCCACCTGGGTAGGACCTTGAGCACCCAAGAAGTAAGTCCCGCTGTTTAGCTGCAGGCAGGAGTGGGAAGCTGGTAGGAGAGAGTCTGCTTTTATCACAGGAAATTGTGGGGGACGGGAGTGGAAGACGGATTTAAAATTTTTAATTTTTGCATGGACGCGTGGGGATGAGATGCGTAGGGGGTTGAATTTTTGTAGGAAATGGTTGCGAGGCGGGGCTGGGTGATAGGCGTCTGAATTTCTGCAGTAACTGAAGGGGGAGCAAAGTCTAAATCTTTGCAGAAACCCAAGAGGAACGGGCGGTGAGAGGTTATGATCCTGAAAATGGGCTAGAAATTGTAAAGAATAAGAATTTGAGCCTTCCAGAGAAAGGCTGGGAGAAGCACTTACCGCCCTGGTTTCACCCATACGCGGCTTTCTCGAAGATGCCCGGACACTGGCAACAATGGACGCCCGCACACATTGCGGGCGCGCCCGGAACTCGCGGCTTTCAGAACCTCGGACAGAGTCTGCCCGGCCTCGCGGGGCGCCCGGGGAGCTCAGGGCTTCCCGGCTCCTTGCCCCAGGCCACCACTGCTCTCTGCCGAGGGCGGCTACGTAATGCCGCCCCCAGAGCCGGGAGAAAGGATACTAGAATCACAAAAGCAAACGTGGAGCTCAATATCTGATCTGCTTCTAACTGCTTCCCGTGACTGCAGAAGGAAGAGGCGGAGTATAAAGATAGCCCCCAAGTTGCCGCGAATACTATAACTGAATGGCGTGGCCTCCTGGATTTTGAAAGATGTACCCAAACTCCTTCAAAATCTAACATTTATTGAGCGCCTACCATGTGCCAAGGGCCTGTACTAAGTGCTCTACGTGGGTTATTTTATCATTTTAGTACACCGCAAGCTTGTGTACCACTATCCCTATTTTACAGACGAGAAAACTAAAGCAAAAGAGGCTAACTTGCTCAAGTTTGTACAACCACCAAATGGTATAGCTGTGTTCTTAAACACCACACCAGGCTACAGTGGTGGGGAGCTGTGCCTGAGTGGAATTCCCTCTGTGAAATAACTCTGAACTTGGGATCAGAGGAACAGAGTTTGAATCAAAGCTGTACCACTTACAAACGTGTGCTTTTGGGCAAAATACTTAATGTGTCTGAACTTTCAGGCTCTGTATCTGTAAAATTAGGATAATAATGCTTCCTTTGCAGAAGTATCCGGGGAGGGTGGTCAAAGAGATCATGTATGTGGCAAGACTCAACAAGCTGCAAATTGTGGTTGGGTGGTGGAGGCAAGAAGGGAGGGAGCAGGTGATTGGAAGAGAAAGAGAATTGGTAAAGAACACTAGTGGCACTCTACAGAGGGGGCTGGGCATGACACAGAGCAGGGCTCAGAGGTAGGATTCTGGATGAGTTCAACTCAATAAAATAATCACTTAGATTTTATAGGATTTTGTAGATAGTATTCACATATGGCCTATCATTTGATCCTTATAACAATCTTGTAAGGCAGAATTGGAGTTCTATTCATCTGGCAAAATGATGCATTTCCCTCCTTACTCAGCTACCTAGTAGCAGAGCGGGGATTAGTGTCCAGGTCTCCTGACTCTCTATCCTGTAATTCTTCCACCATGACTGGTACATCCACAAGAACTTGGATTATGGAGCAATTACAGCACTAAAGCATATTTTGATTACAGTACTGTAAATATCAGGCTGAGCCATGTGAAACTGATGATTCTTTTTTACCACTTTTGACCTACAGAAACAGCAACTTCATATGGATCAATCCTAATAAATGTTCATTAATTATATTCTATTTTGTTCTACAAAGAATTTAAAGCAATTTATAAAGATCCACAAGATATCAGGTTTACATACATATATTAGAAGTAATTGAAAAAATAGAGGAGAAACAAGATTAAGGCTATAGCCAGAAATAAGATGAATACAAAATATGCATATTATAACATCCTAGAAACTTGAGTCAGTAAGTACAAAAAGTGTCTATTCAGTCCCTTTCTTGGGAATCTAAGGAAGTTTACAGAGTCTGTTGCCCCTCATTTTTTGCATTATTTTTCTATTTGGTCAAATATAAGTAATCTTGAAACTGAATGCAATGCCTCAACCCTCTGAAAGATTTACCACTGTGCCAAACCAGGGAAGTTCAGCTGGAAATATGATGCCGATGTGACTCAAGGAAGGGGAGATAAAACAAATGGTATTTTATCCGCACTGATGTAATTATTAGTTACATTATTTATAATGGCTAACGCAAGCATGGTAATACTTTAAAATTTATAAAAAGCATTTCTACATCCATCAGCTCATTTGAGCTACCTAACAACCTGTAGAAGTAAGAAGCTAGGAAGTGATGGGAAGAACAAAAACACAGCATTGTTACTTGCATTCCACTTATTTTGCTTTTATGCCTAGTGTCATAAACCCACATACCTACAGAGGTTAGGTAAGTAACTTGAATGTGTGAATCAGGCCAGCTGCAACACTACGAAGAACAGCAGGGCCTTTATCAAATTGAACAATGAATAAACCATCTTAAAATAGTCAGATCAAAAAAAATTAAAACACTGTGTCAGTCAAGCAATACAAAACTGTGGGCCACCTTTTGCCCTCAGCCCATTTCTGCATAGCCTTGGTCTTACACTACTCAGGCTAAAGATCTGCAAAGGCATGGGGGTGAAAGAGCCTGGATTCAATGAGATAAAAGACTCCATCTCTGTCTTTAAATTTCCTATTTCTAAACTGGGAAACATTGAGCAAGGTGGTTCATCTCAGCTTCAAAAATCTAAGACTTCCAGAATTTTGTGGACAATAAAATAATCCAGAGGCTTCCGGACAAAAATGGTAAACACTTTCACCATCTACCCCCTCCCTCAGAGAAAGCATCATTTTATTTCTTTGGTGTCGGTGACATTTTAGTTTTCAGCACTTCTTTTCCAGTACCTGTGCCTTTGGAAGGTCTCTTAGACACCATGGTAGTAGACTTGAGTAAACCACACACAGCCCTGAGTACTGAAGGGAATGAAGAGAGTGGAGAAGGGAGCATGACAGGGAAGGAACCAGGCAAATATGCTCACATCTCAGCTTACTCTTCTTCTGAAACACACACAAAAAAAGCCCTTTGGGGTTGCTAATTTTTACAGATAAAAATGTGGTGCCTAGAGTAGCCAAAGTGGATGGGATTTCAAAAGTCTGGGCATATGTCAGCTCTTTTCAATCAAGATTGCTTCCTTTCCCTCCAACAAGCTTAGAAACCCCGAAAGGCATCTGATCTTTCCAGCATTAGCTGTTCTTAATATTTATTCTCTGTGATGCACAATAGGAAATAAATTCCCAAATTAAAGTAAATTAGATTTTGGTTGACTCTCACATCCAATGGGAGTTGAATCACCATTCAATTCTACCCTTTGAACATTTCTCCAGCTTGGTTCTTTCTTAACCTCCTCACTTTGGTGGTTCTGATCCACTTCATCGCTCAGAGGCTCTTAGGTGACCTCCAGCCTCCAGTCTCACCCTTCCAATCCTGAATTCTGTACATCTCTTTGTCCTTAACACCCAGCATGGAGTAGATACTCAATATATGTTTGACGGTAAATAAATGAATGAATGAGCAAGTAATGCCAGTGTTTTAGTCAAGGTTTATCTTATTATGAGTGATAGAAATTAATTCAAGCTATCATAAACAAAATGTGGTAGTTTATTAGAAGGTTTCTAGAGTATTCACAGACTCCAAAGGGAGTTAAATCTCTCAAGAGAGAGCGGATTCTCTCCACCTCTCATTTCAGCTTCTTAGTGTGTTGGCCTCACTCTTCTTCCTGTGCACGTCAGCTTTTCTGCTTCTCTGCGCATGTGGCTACCCCCCTGAATGCAGCCTTTTATCCAGAGTTCCTAACACTACAGTTCCTACAAACAGCCCAGGAAAATTGGTGTTTCTAAGTCTCAATTCCAAATTCCACCCAAGGTTGAGTCAGTCATGCACATGGGGCAGGTCAAACAGTACAAACTCACCTGCCAAAAGCTGAACACTGTGTTGGGGGATAGATGTCAGAGATAAGGGGCCACTGTGAGCTGGCATAAAATCTCAGAGGAGTTGCCCACTGATCTCTGAATGTCCATGGGCAAGCCACTTCTTCACTCTTGGCTTCAGCTTCCTCATCTATTAAATAGGGGAAAGATCTTCTTGAAGGGGACATTTGATGCTTCAAGGGAGACAGTTGGCACCAGCCTGCAAAACATACATATTAACACTTGATTGGGTTTTAAACCCTGGGAAGTAGAAATGAGGTGAAGTAAAAAGTGAGTCAAGGAAAGAGGAAGAGCAGATACAAGAAATACATTATTGAGCTAGCCACAGCTAGATGATAAGTGCATTGATTGCTCAGTCTTGTGGAAGTTGTATAATCTATTGCATCCCACTAAAATCTTTTAAACCCACCAAAACCAGGCTATTTGGGGAAGAAAGGAAAATGAGTTTACCTGACATCTGCTTCCTACCCCCAAACTTCTATTGGTTGACATTTGCTCTAGAAAGGTTTCACTCCCCCACACTTCCTGGCTGAGTGTCCTTGTCTCCCCAGGCACCTGTTGGAGACATTTTAATTATAATGTGTCTTGATGTGGGCCACACTTTGGGTGTATCTTGTTTGGTGCTCTCTGTGCTTCCTGTACTTGGATGTCTGTTTCCTTCCTTAGGTTAGGAAAATTTTTAGCTATTATTTCTTCAAATACATTCTCTGCCCCTTTGTCTCTCTCTTCTCCTTCTGGGACACCTATAATACAAATGTTAGTGTGCTTGATGTTGTCCCAGAGTTCCCTTAGACTGTCCTCATTCTTTCTAATTCTTTTTCTTTTATCTGTTCAGCTTGGGTGATTTCCTCTGGTCTTTCATTCAGCTCACTGATCCGTTCTTCTGTATCATCTACTCTGCCATTGAGTCCCTCTAGTGAATTTTTCATTTCCAGTATTG